TCAACAACAAACCAGACAATAAAATGAAATGTAGTTATCAGTTTTACATTTTTTTTCTTTTACGATCGTAAGGATGGTAGGGTAAGGCCTCCTTTGATCTTTTTATTATTATTATTTTTTATATTAGGGAATAAACAATGAAGAAAAAGATAACATTAGGGTAAGCCATCTCATTCTATTTTATTCAATAACATTGATTAAATTTTTTTTTCTATTCCTTTCAGTTATCAATATCATCGCGTCATCAACATCAGACGCGGTGAGTAATTTTTTTTTTGAGATGAGAATAGGTAGTGAGATTGAGGGATTAGGGTGAGACTAAGAAAAGTGAGTGTTAGTAGAGAGTGGGTGAGTCATGTCCATTGAGGTTAGGTCCTCGTTAGTTACAGGCCTTCCGGGTAGGCCCTAAAAATCCGGCCAGGAATCGTCTTGGTGTCCGTGGCACACGACCAGGCTGGCTCCTGGTCGCGCGCACGCGAATAGAATAGACATTCATTTCACCAATTCAATGCGATTTATTTGAAAGGAAAGGAACGCAAAAAAAAATCCATCGCGACGAGTCTATTCAATTGAAAAGCGTTGAACACGATTATTCTGCCGATCGGCGACATAGAGATTGCCCTGTCGATCGAAGGACAAACCTCGGAAATAGTTGAACTGATTTGCTCCTTCTCCGGAACCATTTCCACCCACAATGACAGTGCCCTGTTTCGCTCCTTTAGGCCAACGCATCAATCGATTATTCTCCGTGTCTGCCACATAGATGGTACCCAATGTATCGACGAACAGTCCTTGAGGATGCGACAATTGTGTTAGAGCATTCCCTTGGCCTTGACCTCCAGCGACGACAATTCCTTCTTTTGCACCTTTATTCCATTTCATTACACGATGATTGTTTTTGTCTGACATGTAGACAGTCTGCTGTTGATCGACAAAGATGTAGGTCGGATAGGTGAGTTGATTGAGACCAGCACCTTGGCCGTTGCCACCAGCCACAATAGTTCCATTATTGTCTCCTATTTGATATCGTCTTACTTCATGTTTTTCGACGTCAGAGATGTAGAGATATCTCTGATCATCCATGGCCAATCCTCGACAATCGATGTTGTTGATGAGGATTTCTCCTTGAGTTGTACCACTACGACGAGACCATCGTACAACTCGTCGATTACCTGGATCACAAATAATGAGACTATCCGTCTCTTTGTCGATCAACATATCGGTTGGGTAATACAATTGATCCAATCGATTTCCTCGGCCATTGTCACCAGCTACAACTTGTCCATTCGTACCACCCATCTTCCATTGGATGATACGATGATTGTAGCCGTCAGCGATGCCCATCGTTTGATCATCATCAACGAAGAGACCAAAAGGGCTGTAGAGTTGATTGGTGGTACTGCCTTTTCCATGACCTCCAGCAACAGTCACTCCATTCTGTTTCCATCGAGCATCGACTGGAATATTGGGAATTACTACAATGAACAAAAAAGAAAAGAAATCGTCGTTATCGAAGGGATCTCGTCTCTCGTGGGAGTAAGCGCTACAAATATGACATTCGTATTTGAGAATGCTCATTCCACAGATAAAAATTCAGAAGTCTTTTCCTAGTTTCTTATGAGAAAAAAAGGATTTGGTAACGATTCTTACATCTATGTTACTTCTAGTTCTTGCCAAGATCTTTTTGATCCTAAAAACAACATCTGGAGATTGCTGTAAGAAGGTCCTCGAAGAAAGAGTAATGCTAATTCCATGTAAGCTTTTGATAGAAAAACATAGAGATCTGAGGATTTTATTCGTAATTGCGAGAATGCAAAATCTTTTGTAGGATGATCATTTATATGAACATCAGACAAGAAGAACTATGTGAAACTTCTAAACTGAAAAAATCTTGAGAAGATTCTATTTGTATCTTGTTAGGAAGATGTCAAATCTAATCCCTGCTGTTGGAGAACTCTGAGGATGCTGTTCACGTCATAGGACAATTCAGGTGGATCTATAGAATTTGATCTTATATATAAAGAAGAATGCTTATCTGTTTGTCTGTGCTTTATGCATTTCCACACCGTATGAGCGAATGCAATCAAACTTTCCAGGAATTCTCCTCTCATCCAGGAGAAGGTCAACACCTATTTTTTTGCAAAAAGAATTGCTCCTTTACTCGCAAAAAGCATACTTATGTTGTTGACCAATCAGATTGCAGTATTCTGTACTATAGAAGTACTATTGACCAGCACTTCATGAACACACAGAAAAACATGGAACTACAGGTTTTCAAATCTTTTTGATTGGCCAGAAACCAATAGGAATCGAGTTTTTGAGAAAACGAATATCAAGGGTGACCCATGTCATACACAAATCCAGCTTTTGTGCGTCATAGATATTGACTCCTTAGGTTGTTAAAGGATCTGTCCCACAAAAATCTTTCTGTCTGTCTTTCTTTGCAATCAATCGGAATTCAGTGTGATTTCAGTAGTACAAAATGCGACGTTCTAGATCAATTAAATGTGTCCTTGTGTTTAGTTTCGATCAAAACGGATTTTTCTTGCAATGTTGTCGAAGAATCGATTGTCCATGTGGGCTCCCCACTAGAAATATAACTATACAGCTCTGGAGCCAGGAACGTGACCAAATGCGATCAGGGTCAGTCGGGATCGGAGTCGATCGAGATGGGCATATGCTCTTATAAATGCTCGGCCAAGATAAAAAGTCGATAGAACTCATAAGTTTCATCAAGTTCTTCTTGATCTAGACGTGTAAGGACGAAGAATCCTTCACTTCTGATCAATTTTTCATTGTCAGCATTTCATATCCGTCGAGAGCGAGAGTAGCCGTGGCTGGGACTTAAAATACGTCCAAGAGCCATAACCAGGATCGGAACAAGAAATAGAGTTTTATGCGTGTCTACTCCCTACTGATTAGGTTTTCTGACATGTTCTCGAGCGCAACAGGAGTTTTGCTTACATATATTAAGACTGAACTTTTCAGAGCAACACCGGATACTTCCGCTAGTGACTTATAATTTTGAAATACTAAGAAGAGAAATACTAATCCAATCGACGCTGTCCATAGGATAACATATGGATATCTAGATTTTATACGTAATTTGGAGGGTGTGAATCTTAGTTAGATAGTCAAAATCTGTTTTTGATAGATGCATAATTGAATTCTTTACAAACTTATATTTACCTTCGTTTAAAACAACATAGAAATACGAAAAAAAAACATTTCAGCATGTAAATAAACGATTGGATTATTAAAATATACTTTTTACAAACTGCAAGCTCTTGAAATCGAATAAAAAAAGCTCATAAAAATGTGTTCTTTTTTAACTTTAATATCTTCATCATAAAATTTACATTCATATTTGCTTCTCTGATAGGAAAATTTTTCTTATCACTCATTGCAAAAAACAGTTAGCAAATTACACGACTGTCTCAACTTTGATATATAATCTATTTATTTGTCTCTTTCTAAGCAAAATCAGCAGACGTAGAGAGAAATCCAACTTCGCATGCTTATTCATGCTGTGATAAAAATAGAATAATTTCAATAGCTCTAAGAAAAGTGGATTCTCAAATAAATCAGCAACAGATTCTTTTTTGCGATAAGAATGAAAGAAAACAAAGCATCTTGAAAATTTGTATGGTCGCACAAGTATTAGAAACATGAGAGAAAAGTATACAACAATAACTATCCTATATCGTAAGTAGATCAAAATCACATTTTAAACTTTAAGAAAAATAATATGTAAACAAAGTAAACAAATAGAAGAAGAAAGGATGTGGGTGTACTCCGTGTGAAGACAATACACACACCCACACTCATATCCGCCCACACCTACATCCCAAATTATTTTGAACTCGAGTACTCAACAATTCGTACCAGATAAAGACTCATGACTAGACATGTGTGGAACCGCGACTGAGACTACAAAAAATTTTGCCGAGACTGCAGCTCAAGTTTATAGTAAAATATTCTATAGTTTTAAGAAAATTATCTTATAAATCCTATGAATCAGAATATAAATCAAGAGAGACGAATAGATTTTTCTAGATCGAAACCGGTATTAAAAAACTTCCTCCCCAGATGTCTACCTCTGAGTACGACCAGCCGATACAGAGAAAAACACAAAAATTTCTCCCAGCATCATGATAACTATAAGTATCTTAACATTAACAGAGAAAGTCAACAGATCCTTATATAATTCACTCGATTCTATTCTGACAGGACGGTTGACTCATGCGTGAGGTAATGAAAAAAAATGCAGTTAATTTTCCGTTCTATCACTGTTATACTTTTTCTTTCTATTCGAACAATATTGAGCTTTAAAATATATAATTCTATATCGTGCTTTTCTCTTCCTTTATTTTTTATTATATAGAGTCAGGGGTCCTAATCCTGCCAAAAAAAGACTTTTAGCATTTCATTTGCAAATTGAGTTATGTACATATCATAGAAAAATAAGTTTTTCCTTTCCGAAAAAGTAGAAACATTTCTTTGTCAACTGTTTCAAAATTATTTAAAACAAAAATTAATTAATCACTCAGGAGAAGCGTGACAATAGAGGGAGAGTCAAATTTAATTGAATTTTAGTGTGTTCTCAATTGTGCCACTTCCTAAACCTAACTTTATCGAATATATATAAAATATATAGAGCTGCCAAAGTCTTTTTTTCTATCTTTTTTTGTTGCTTAGCAAAGTATATGTAGAAATACAATTGTGTCAGAACACTTCTCAAACTTTATGTTAAAGCAAAAAATCAGTTCCAATTCGATCTATATTTTTACTATCTGCACATAGAACTTTAGTCTGATTGAACTCGTTCTAGTACAACAGGCAAAACTTTTTAGTTTTAAACCTCATAAAATAAATGCATATCAGAACACATAATACACTGATACTCGATTATTAGCTATGGTACTTCAAAAACTCTGTGTACCCAAAAATATTTCATATATGAATCTAATATTGTAATCAGCGTATTAGTCGCTGAGCATCTATTTAAATAACCATATTGCTAAGGATACTAAATGATGTTTTCCATGTACAATATATAATATTACTTTTTCAGATTATCGACGGGAGAGAAGAACTTTGGTACAAAGCGATACTCTCGTTTTTATTGAAACTCATATAGTGAAAGGCAACACGTTTAAATTTGGAAAGAGCTAAATAGTATTATGGACCGATCTTCTCTGGACCAGTAGTGCCCGGCGTAACGAAGATTTTTGATCATGATTACGATCATTCTTCCTAGTTTGTCGCGAGTCATAATCTCTCTTCTTGAACCATATTTATTGTGACGAAAGTTAGATAAAGGCGAAAACAGCTGAAAACGTTGAGATTATTAAGCAAGAAGAAAACCATATTCTTAATTAATTTGAATCGATTCCATGAAATAGTAGCAATTATGTGTCCTATCGTTTAGCTGTATTTGTCACAAAATATGTCTTTTTATTATGTTTTGTGTCTCAGCTAGTGTTCTATGGGATCGACTTTTTTCGATTATTATTTCCCG